GTCTGATTTTAATTGATTTTCTTCTAACTTATTGTGGGTTTCTAGTTTTTGGTATCTTTGATGTCATTTTTTTGCTGCTTTTGATTTTTGGTTGACATAATCTCTAATTGTATATCTATTTATTTAGCTAGCATTAAAAATATAGCATACTTGTAGGAGTTTGAGGTTCACTTTTAACCTTGTTTCAAGACTGCAATTCTCTCCAAAATGTCACTTTATTTTGTATTGCAAATTGGAAATAGATAAAAGGACTTGTTTATTTTATTACTTCAATGTAATATTGAGTAACTGGTCATATTTTCTGATTTATGTGCAAATAATACTTTGCTCTATGGTTCTATTTTTTCATATCCAGTGCTTTTGTTATTGAGAGGTGATATCTATTGTTCTGTTTTTTCATATCCAGGTGATACCATTTATATGGATGCTAAAATGGGAGCCAAAAAAGAGCCTAAACAGATGTCAGAAATACTTTAAAATATTATCAATAATTTAAATATTACGTTTATTTGTAAAAGCTAATATTGAACTTGGTATTTATATCTACCTTTTGTTATTAATATTAGTATCTACTTTCATGTGTATTTATGTAGTGTTATTTTAAATAATAAAAAAATTAATTATAGTACGGAACCGAACCGAACCGAACCGAATCGAATCCGAACGATTCCAAAATTATATTTGAAACCGACGGTTCCATTTACTAAATACCCGAAAATTTCTGGAACCGAACCGATCCGCACCCATCCCCTAGCTCCATGGCCTTGATCAGGATTTTTTTAAAAGCTCGTAGTTGCAATATCCTTCAGTAATAAAGGCATCCGAGCAAAAAGGTCAGTTCTTCAAAATAATTACTAAACATACCATGCTTTACATTTATGCTATTCATAATCAACGGGTGCACTAATCATCATATGTGATAACTTGTTATTTGAGGTTACAGAATTATAGAAAATTAATGGTTCAAATAACAAGCTGTCACATAAAATACAGTGGCTCATGAGTTACATCTGATAAATGTAGTGGAAATAAAGGGGTGAACATACCAAAAATAGAAGAATTAAATTAAGAGAACGGCAAATTAGGTGGCTAAGGATATTTTTCGTAAATATAAGAGGCTCCTATTCATGAAAGAAACGATATCATTATTATAGATTAGAAGAGAGAAATATATCAAAACTAACCAAGCGAGAAGTGGTTGTGAACAATCTCACTAAATCTAACAAAGAATAAAATAGAATATATATAATGATTCATATTACCGACCAAATTATTGGGGAAAAAGAAAAAAAAAGCCCAGATTGTCATCGTTGAGTAGAATATCACTTGAGAAAGTGTCACCATGCTGCAGATATCGTGACAACAGAATGATTTTCAGAAGGGTAAAAATCCATAAGAAAAACATAAATATCAATATTTAAAACAAAAAATTCTTACATTATTAAAAAAAAAAAACAAAAATGTGAAAGTCTAGCATGTCAAAAGCAAACAGAATGAGACAGGTAATGAATAACATTTCCAGCAACTGAGAGCTTATAAGAAATATAGCAAGGATGAACAAGTA